TGCAGTTGAGGAAGGTCTCATTCACCAGCTGGAGGATGTTGTTGTGCGAAGCAAAAAGCTCACGCAGCCCTAGCATGCCCTGCAGACGCAGATCGTGCAGGTGATTGTAGCTGAGGTCGAGTGTGCGAACACTCTCCAGGCCGTCCAGGTTGACCACTCGAAGGCGATTCAGACTGAGGTCCAGCGTCTCGAGGTAGTGCAGCTGCGCAAAGATGGAGCTGTCGCTGACCACCGTCAGCAGGTTGTTCGACGCGTACAGCGTCTTCAGCTTGGGCATGGTGATGAAGCTGCGCGAGCTGAGGTGACGAATGGCATTCGACTGCAGATCGAGCGTCTCCAGCAGCGTGAAGCGCGTGAAGCCGTCATCCGGTATTTGGGTGATCAGGTTACTCTGCAACTTCAGAGACAGCAGCTTACGCAGACGGCGCAGGGCAAAGAGCGGAAAGTTCGACAGACGATTGCCGATTAGACTGAGCTCCTCGAGGGTGTTCTCCAGGCCGCCGAAGGCAAACTCGTGCAGACTCTCGATGATGTTGTTCTGCAGGTTGAGCGTCCTCAGGGGTAGTCCGTAGAAGGCGTATGAGTCAAGGGTGGCGATGCGATTCGCCTGAATGTCCAGCGACTGCAGCTGGCGAAGCTTGCTCAGGGCACTCTTTGGAATGGTGGTGATCTGCGAGTTGACGAAGCTCAGACTGCGGAGGCTCTCCTCGAGGCCGGCAAAGGTGAGGTCGTTGCCGATCTGGCTGAAGTTGCTCGATATGTGCAGCTCGCTGATGGAGGAGAAGGCTTCAAAGAGGCTCTCCGGCAGGGCGGCCATCGGCCGCGACTGGTTCAGGCGGTACAGAGAAAGGGAGCGGACGGATGATCGGTGCGGCTGAAGGTGACGCAGTGTTGCCCGCAGCTGGCCCATCGACGCCGAGGCGCACTCCACGAAGATGCCGCTGCTCTCGGCGCTGCCGTAGCACCGGCAGGGATTACGGACGCCTGCTGGTGGTGATGGTGGGGACGATGATGATGACGCTGCTGCTGACGGATCGGCACTGGAGTCACTCTGATCAGCCGTTTGTGCTGATTCACTGGAGACGCTGCTGCTGCTGTTGCTCACTCGACCGACGCCGTCAGATTGTACCGCTGCCACCGTCGTCTCCCCACCGTCCCCGGCGTCGTCGGGCGCCAGAAAGAGGGGACAGATTTGCGTTGCAGTGACGTTATCGCCGCTTCCACCACCAGCACCACCAGAGAGAAGTGGAAGTGGATTTGGCACCTCAGCAGCGGTGTTCATCATCGTCATCCTCATCATTGGCGGATGCTTTGCCGAGGACGCAGTGAGTGCACTGGCCACTGGACCTGCACTGCGCTCTTCCAGCAAAGTGGCAGAGGGGGCCCCAGCGGTGTGCAGCAGAGCAGCATCAGCAGGCTGTAGGAACAGACAGAGACAGCTGACCAGCATCAGACAGAGTGCGTAACGGGAGATGAGCGATGAGTGAGGTGGAGGACGCCTCGATGGATGCCTAAAGTGCTGCTGCCTTTTAACTCTGCCCGTCCACGGCTGATCTCGGTGGCCTTGGTCAGTCTGCTGCTGCTGCTCCTGTCTGGGCAACTTTTGCTGATGGACAGTGCTGTTAAGGGCACCACTGCAGCCGGACGACATTAGGCGTCTGCAGAGGGCGAACGACATCAGAGCAATGGTGGCTAATGTCCACCAGGGGTGGCAGATAACGGAGCCGGGCAGTCTGGACGGCAGTGGTAAGGGGCAACTGCTATCTGCGTTGTAGTCAGCACTGCTGCCACTGCTCTTCTCATCCAACACCGCTGACCATTTAGGCCATTTCTGCAACTGTGTTGCTGCTGCCAACGGAGCACTGCTGGGAAATTGGACGATGAAAAATGACTCGACCAACGTCGCTGATGGAGGCTCCAGCTCGATTGGAGTACAACTGAAACTGGTGGATAAAGTGAAAGTGCTGCAGATGAGCAGCATCAGCATGGAAGCTAGGAAGATGAGAAGGATTTGCTGGTGGCTGAGAAGGGAGCAAAATTGGCCAGCAGTTCTGACTGATGCACTGATTAGCAGCTGCAAATTGCCTGCTGCCACTGCCTGCTCACTTTGCTTTCTTTTTCTCCGTTTGCTTTCTCCCGCTTCCTCTTTGCCAGCAGCAGCTGTAGTGCTGGTGGTTATGCAACTACTGCACCAACTCAGTGCTGGTTGCTGCTGCTGGCTTAGCCACTGATCGCCCACTGGCGATTGTTCATGGCCATGGCCATGGCTATGACCGCTGGCCCCACAATATCTGCTGCTTCTGCTCATAGTCACTGAACGAGGTGGCTGGTGGCAGTTGTGAGGGGATTCCACTCTGAATAGAAAAAGTAAATGTGAAGGAGATAAGGAGACGCACCAGCAGTTGATGGCAGTGCTCAGCAATGAGTGAAGCAGTCTGCTGAGACAATGGAGATCAGGAGGAGGAGGAGGAGGAGGAAGAGGTGAGGAAGAAGGGAGAGGTGAAAGGCGAAGTGAATGTTCACGCGACCGGATTGCGGCCGGAAGATGGCCCTCTTTGGGGTGGACAACGGCTATTGTGGTAGTATTAGTAGCCGCAGCAGTAGTTTGCTCATCGGGAGGATGTTTGATCTCTTCAATTAGTGACCGCCCTTTTGTCCACTGCATTCTGAATAGTGGTCGGGTGAATGGTACAACTGAGAGTGGTCAGCACACAGATTACACACACAATCTTTGGTTTTTCTTTGTTGGCTAATTTTGGTTGCCAAAGTGTATTGATTTGACGCTCAAAGATGTGATCATAGGTGGTAGATTTCTGGTTTCAGTTTGGGTTTTTGGCAGAGAAGACATTTTATATTGCCGAGTGGAGGCTGCTGGTAAAGTTGTGCGCCATTTTTTTGCTTGTCTGCAGCCTGCAACGTCGATTGAGGCACTGAAGCCGTCAATGAGTAGTCAATTGAGTCCCTTTTTGCCATAAGTCATTGCTGCCTGTCAAAAACAATCGAAGGAAAAAAAGTAATGGAGAAAAATCAGTAAATGAGGGAAAGCAAGGAATGAGGGAGGGTAGAAAAGAGGGAGGACTAAAATGGACAAAAATAGCATCAAACTAGCAACCAAAAGCTACTGCCTCTGTTTTGTCTGACGGTTTTTATTTTTTCTGCGCAGGATTTTCCAAATTAATGGACCACCAGACTACCAAACTACAGCGACCAGAACCAAATGGAGGTTCTGGTTGAGGCCAGAACACAACAGCAGAGGACCAGGGGTTACAATAAGATTACATAAATCTATCTAATTTAATTAACATTTTAAACAACATTAAAACAGCACTTTCTGTTAGTGATTAATTGAGACTGAATGAATTTGGTAATTAATTAAGGCAATTTGAAGTAAAAAACTGGGAGCTAACAACAAAGCAAGAAACAAAGACGAAGTTCATGTTTTGACACGACGGCGACGACGACCGGAGGGAAATGAAGGTTCGCAGGCGGATACGAACAGCACAGTCGACTTTTGTTAAAGGAAAAACTGAAACTGAGAAGTGGCAAACTATTCAGCATGGGCGACAAACGCCATTTTGATTGGCGCCACTTTGCAGCCAGTAGCTGCAGCAGCACCAAAAGGGGTTCCCCTTTTGTGATTTGCTTAATTAAAGATGCCTTTTAATTAAGACAAACACGATTCAAAAGGGTTGAAAAGAGAAAGGTTCAAAAGAGGGTAGCAATGTCTAGTAAACTGATGCTGCCGCTAGTGCTGCTACATCCGATGGAAAAGGAGTTTTTCCCTTCAAAAATGAAACAAAGAAGCATCGAATAGAGATAGATTGCAGTAATGAAAAAAGAAGAGGAAGGGAAATGTTCGTAATGGTGAAAATGGTTCATTATACTGAGTCATGATAAAGTCGTCGAAGAGGAGGGGGGAGATATCACACCTCAAATGAACTACCAAGAATGGACAACGTATAGGAAGCTTAGTGGAGGGAAAAGCTGCTGCTACAGCAGAGATACTATTACTGTTGCCAGACGACAGATAGAAAAGATGGCACACACCCTCACACTTTTAGTCGTAATGAGTGTTTTGTCAACTCTTTCTCTTTTTTTATTTTTATTCTTTCAATGGAACCCCCGACTGAGAGATTGCAAAATTATGCAACTCCGATCAATAAAGAGAAAGGCACTTTTCTTTCCACTCGTCTACCTAAAACACAGAAACTACAGTGCAATTAACGCTAAATGTGATTTTGCCTAGGCTAAAAAACTAAAAGCACCTCATTTCACTGTGTGTGTCGGCTTAAGAAAGAGAAAAAATAATAAAATGTGCTACTACGCATTCTAAAGTGTCAATCGATGGCAAGTCAAAATGTTCCCAGAGTAGTAGACTGTAAAGTAGAGCTAGAACATAGTAGCACATTCAAACACACACACACACGCTCAGAGTGTGCCCAATTGCCATTCGACAATTAATTCTAATTGGAACATCGTTCAGTAGACAGATTAGGCGACAGCAAGTCTTGATGCTGCTGCTGTTGCCACGACCAAGAAAGCAGTGCAGAGAAAGCAACACCACAAGCAGTACACCAAAAACATCCGAAACAGCAGCAGCAGCTTTTCTCCATTCCCTCTTCAGTGTGCTATCATTAAAGAAGATACTACGGGAAAACGACTTCTCAGCTTTCTTTTTCTTTCCCCGCCGTCGCTCATTCTTTTGCGGACACTTGTGACAGCCATTACGGCCAACAAGCAAACAGACAGAAATTAATTATTTTTCGATTCTGCCAGTTGCCACACACAAAGTTGTACACACACACAAACAAGAGAAGATGTTCTTTGAGTCTGCAAGCCGATTTAAAGTATTGCGATACATGCTTAGAAGTGTTGGCAACCAGCAGAAAACAGGGGCCCAAAGTTGTACGGTCAGATTGAGCAGAAGAGGGATGGCACACATAGACACACACACACATAGACATACATAGACATTTGCTCTTTTCAAGTGGACACTCGATCATTCAAATTGCACTCTAATTGCTAGCATCGGCAGGGAAGTGAGCTTGATATGCCCATAGAAAGACAATTTCGCCATCTAAATCGATTTCCAAACACTTGACACAAACAGTAAAAACATACACAAGTGTTTCTTGAACTGGTCATCATCAAATGCTAAAATCAAACGTTTGCAGAGTGGGCTTTAGGTGTCAAGTGACACAAGCTAGAAACAACATCACTTTTTGGGTGCATTGCAAAGAGGGTTGGAAAGCTAAAACCAAATACCCCACATATTTTTTGTTTTTAAGGCCACTGCACTGCAAATTAAAACAGCTTTTGCGTTCAATTGTTTTTTATTATTTTGTTTTTGCTGACCCTTTTGACAAAAAAAGTTTTTATTGTTTTTATAAGTGTGCTGGTAATCGGCAAAAATAGACGACAGAAAGAACAGCAGCACTGGCTGATTGACTCTGCTTTGGCCAGTTAGTGGCCATTAGGCGAGTGCAAATCAAAGCAAAATATGTTTCATGTCCGTCGGTTTGTATGTTTGTGTTTTTCTCTGTTTACTCTTTTTCTCTCTTTTTTGTTGGGGTTTATTTTGTAAATTAGATTTAGGTTTTTTCTTTCTCTTTTTCCTCTAATGGGCGCCATGGATGCAGGCAGATCGCCAGGCAATCTAATCGACTGGCGCCGACGAACAGCAGCGAAGACGACGAGTCTTGACTACACACACACACACTTTCTGGGCTCTGATTGGGCACGATGGTACGGCCAAATAAATTAATAAATCGATACTTAAATTTAAACTCGTTCTGCAAAACAGGCAAAACGGAGAGA